TTTCACTTCCTTCACATATCATACATATTTATGTGTGTAGGTTTTATAAATTCACTTAGAAGCGGAATTTTTCAATGTTTTTTTTTGAAGTCAAGTAAAATCCATTTTTATTGTTTGTTATACAATGAAAAATTATGCATTTTAAAAATTAGACAGAGTCCATAATTGGATACAAACTTAGTAGACCGCCTTTCATCAACCACACAAGTAGTTTTGTTTTTTTCTAATGGTCACATTGGCAATTTTCTCGTTATTGACCACAATCTTCAACTGTGACCTTCAGTGTCACAGTTGTAGCGGAATAACGTTTTTATCCTGGTTACATACACTTTCGTACATTGTATACATTGACTCAGACTGTTTAAAAAATACCTCATTCATAGGCAAATTAAATTAATAAATACACGCTTGCTATCAAAAGGATTTCCTGCAGTTAAACTGAAATGATTAAACTATTTTTTTTTGAAGAAAGTGGGAAAAAATGGAGACAAAATGCGGACAATGTAGAACTTCTTCAACATTGAACCGAAAAAACCCGCGTGTACAAATCCATTGATACTGTTGACATGTCTGCCAATAAAAACAAACAAACGAATGAACAAATTTTAAAATTTTGAACATATAAGTATGCCGTGGAATTTGTTACATTTTCTTCCAAAGAATTGTAAGTTAGTGATGTGGATTTAAAAAAACAATGTAAGTCATATTGTAGGCTGTCCGCTGGATTGAAAATGTAACAAGATTCTATTAAAATTGAAGAAAACAAAGAAATTGCAAATGAATATTGAACAATATTAAATATTTGAATAGAGAAATAAGAAGACATATTTTGTGAGATAGTAGTACCATTTCGTGCTTTCTCGTCAGTCACATACAAGCAACATGTTATTCGTGTGTAAACACAGCAGTTTTGAAGATAAGGTCAAAATTTCTTATTTAGCATCACATTCACTCACTAGAACCACCACGGTAAACAAAGGTCAACATACAGTTGTATTTGAACACATAAAGTTGGAATTTTTTCCGATCAATCAAGATAGCTTCGAGTAGTTTTAGTGTGTGTGGGTTTTGATGACATGTCACAACTCTATAAAGGCTGATTTTGGGTCAATTTGATGACCACTCATCATTAGATGTTTTGCAATGGACGAGGCTGGGTTTCTTGATCGATTTTGAGATGATGGGCTAGGTTGATGAATCATGGATTTGATTAACCATTTTGGAATATGTTCCCCAATCCTGTCTTCCAATCGGCGATCTGTCCTGCCCAAGTAACTTTCTCCTGCGAGTTTCAGGAGACGTTAATGCGCACTACTGATTACTCCCACATCAGGACTCAATCGATCTCAGTTACCCCAATCAAGTCTCTAAGACCGATTCAGTCCAAATCCCACTGTATTTACCAATTCACATGTAACTGCGGAGTCAGTCAGTAAAAAACAACACAGAACTTCTCACGTACGTACGTACATCAATTCAAGTTACCATACCACATTAAAAGCTTCAACAAGTAGTTTAGGACGGGGTTTAATGAGACCAGGAATAACGTTTTGGAAATTCGAACCGTTTGCATCAACGGTGCGGCGAGATAAAGGAATAGGAGTCGTAGAGATAAGAGAGATGTTGTTACAGGTATGAGGGCGGATGTCATTTCCTGGCTGCCCACACCGTGGAAAGCAATTAAAAGAAGCACATTAACATAGATTCAGTTTATCATCTCATACTTTAGAGATCAACGCGAACGCCTAACCATCGGACCACTGGGCCGGCATTCAATGGTGTCAATGTCTAACTCTAACTAATCTACGGATTTTGCGCGACTTCACTCATTTGTCTTTTTGGTAGTAGTTACTGCCTACACCCAACAGGGTTGCTGATCTCCATTGGTCATGTCTTCTCAACTAGAACTCCGAGAATTTCCTCATGAAGAAGCTAGTCACTACTGAGCACAGTTTACGATATCTTCGGGCAGAGTTTTTTGCACACATTTGAAATCATCAATTTTTGTATAGTTGTTAACTATCGATTAACCAACCCTATTGATTATTACGTCATCTTAAAGAGAAGAAGTAATTAGAAATAGTGTAGTTGACGGATTAACGGCCAACGACCAGCGAGTCGATATTATTGGTTAGAGTTCTTTTCTAGCGAGTTAGAGTCGCTAACACCATGCACCCAACCTTCCTCCTTTATCCATGCTACAGATCGGCAATAAACCCAGAATGGCTTCAGGAGTAGTTGATATTACACATCTACCTTTTAAAAAACAAACACTTTTAGAAAAGCCAATTTATTATTTTTTTTCGATGACTCATTACTTTCATCAAAAAGTAATTTTATTATTAATTATGATTTGTGTGCCATATGACTTGAATTTGAATCTAATCAGTTTATTTTGTTCAATTTTCAAAGTTCATTGTTCATTTTAAACAAATTTATGCTTGAATCATTCTTAATAATAACAACAACAATGACAGAAAATAAAAAGACGAATTTGTTTTATAGCAGAATATTTCATTTGAAAAACAATTAATTTTTTTAAGTTGATAACTTAAACAAATGTGATTTTTTCTTTCGTTGTTCAACGTTCAACGTTCAATGACAAGACGAATGTGACATTGTTTATTGAACATATGGAAAGAATTGAAAAAAATATGAAATGAACGATTGAAAATTTCAACAACAACAACAACAACGAAAAATAAACAAACAATAAAATTGATATGTTCGATCATAAAATGTTTTTTTGAAAAAAAATCAAAATACTATTTATTAATTTGACAGTTATTTTAAAAAAAATATGGAAATTTCTACACTGTTGTAAATTTTCGGGCAAAGTTTTGGAGGTTTGTGTTTTTTTACACATTTGAAATCATCAATCAATCATTGTTAGACTACCACCATTAAAAACCTGGAAACACTGAATGACGGCCGTTTCGTCCTGGTGTGGAACTCATCAGCGACAGTGCGCATCCACGGCTCCTGCACCTAGCAGAATTCAAACCCGGGACTGTCGGTATTGTGCGCGAACGCCTAACCATTGGACTACTGGGCCGGCGTCCAACGGTGTTCGTGATTAACTCTAATTGATTTACGGATTTTGTGATAAGCGTGTTTTATTCGATTTTCTTCACTGACTCTATCGGTTTTATACTTCACAAAATTACGCTCTTGTAGATTAATACGGATGCATCACATTTCTGATGAGATTTAATGAAGATTTATTCATGTTTCTTGTCTGTACTTGAAAATGAAAAAAGATCATCATATCAGACTGTGCTGATGATAACTTGTGATTTGTGAAAACGAAACGGGATCAGTTCATTACTGATATGTTTAAGGGAATAAGACAGATTATTTACACATGGTGTGATAGCCAGATAGGCTAAGTGGTCTGGAGATTAGGTAAACGCGCGCACGACCAAACGTTTTACTTTCGAATCATGTGAGTTACAGAAGCCGTGGATGTGCACCTCTAATGAGTCCCATACCGGGACAGAACGGTAGTTCTGTGCTTCTAGGTTTAATTTGAATCAAGAATTAACCAATGTTAGACTATTATTAGACAACTGGAATCATTGGACGACCATTTCATCACAGTATGGAACTCACCAGTGGCAGCATGCATCGGCGACCCTCGCTACTCATAGAAATCGAACCTAGGACCTTCTGTCTCGTGTGCGAACGCTTAAACTCTAGCTCACTGAGTTGGCATCCAACAGTATCAATATCTAAGTTCAGTCAATCCATGGTCCTGTGTAATCTTATCTATTGTCTTCAATTGGCATTGCTCCACCCCCAACAGAGTTGAACCCCACCTGGTTACAACTTCTCACTACAATTCGGAGACAATTCCTCAGGAAGCTGTTAACTAGTGAGCACATGATAATTCTAATTATAGGGTTGTGGAGATTATTGAGTTTCATTGCAGTCATAAACCGGCCATTGATAGGCCACCATCTGAAACCTAAGTCCGACGCTGGGACAAAACGGCAGTCCAATCCTTCCCGGTTTCTAATGATGACCCAACATTAATCAACTCATGATTTAAATGAGTTGATTTTGTATAAATGTGATTTTTAAGTACTGATTTTTTAGTACTATAACAAGGATGTTATTCCTGAATGCTTGTTAGTCGTTAATATATATTGGCAAAATAGGAAAACCATATCGTAAATCGTTAATTTGTAAAATATCAATCCATCATATCTCACTGGGCTGTTCCTGTTGCAAACATCAATCAATTGTCTGACATTTTACTATTCATGCGTTTCTTGCAAATCCCATTGTGTTCTCGCTCTTCCTTTCTTGATCTTCCCCCATCTTCTGCTGCCAGACATTACGTTTTCACTCGCGTCATATACTACTTATAAGTAGCGCGCACCACACTCGTCCCCCCTTTTAATAAGCTGTCGTCGTAGTCTTTCTGATCGCCGTACCGCTGTGTTCTTTGGTGCTTTCCGTGACTCACACACTTCATAATCTTGATGAGACTCCGGAGGTAAGTGAAGCGGTCTACACACTCGACTACTTCACTCCCTATCACTAGTTCAGGTACACCAAAACAAGCCATTCTTGAAGCAGCATTTCGCATTTCGAAGGGGAGTACACTTCTATATGATAATGTTTACCTAGTTAGTAGTAGTGAATGAATATTTTGAAGAAAGTTTATTGCACTTAAACATATCAATCACAGCTTAAACATCTTTGAAAGAACCAATATTTTTAGATTTGACTTATTGACAATAGTCAACTTGTACCAATTCTACAATCCATGACTTTCTATTTGATCAATCTAAGTTGGATGATGTTTTTTTTCCAAAATATTGCCATTGATCAATGTTTCGATGTACATTGAACAAATTGAAAATTGAACACGTCATTCAATATTCAATACAGATTACGCCCTACAAAAAACTATATGTTCTTTAACTTGTAAAAAATTTTCATTCATATTTTATAAATATATATATATTTTTTCCCCATTTTCCATTAAAAGCGCAAACAATGGTGAATGCATTTTTTAAAAAAAAATATGAACAGGAAAGGTGTGTATATATATGTGTAGATCAATGATGTTTATGTTTTATAAAACACTATTGAAACATTGAAAGCAAAGTAACTAACTAACTAACTAAATTTGAATATATATGAGAAGTAAAACGAAAATTCAAACGAATTGAATACATAAAATTGAAATAAGTTGAAATAAAAAAGTACACAAGATTAGGAAATGTAAAGGAGACCAAATGCTGCTGCATGAATTCAATTCAATTGCATGAATAATAAGGAAAAAGTCATACAAAATGTAAATGGTGCTTTAAAGAATGATGATTGCGCCATAGTTTAAAGATTTTAATGGAGAATAACACTGACGGTTGGATGGAAGGCAATCGTGATGACGTAATAAGTTGATGAAATACAAGGAAACGAATTTGAATTTTAAAAATTGAAGCACTGAACGTTTCAAGTGAGGATTTTAATTTTGAAATGCATGAATAAAAGTGATACGTAAAGAGAAAAGAAGCGTAATACAATTTTGGTAGTAGTAGTAGTTGTAATAATTAGATGAAAAAAAGGATTTGATCATGCTGACTGAATGTTTGCACTTCTTCTTGTGTATATATTTCATTGTTCAACAGAGCAGAATAAACAATAATCCATACTTTGATTGACACATTGAACAGTTCAAATTGTTCGCCAAGTTTTTGGTTGTTTGAATTGATGAAGGTTTCAAGGTCAGTTGTTTTTATTCGTTCATTCGTTCGTTCATTTTAACTACCAGTAATAATATTGTAGGAAGCTGTGAAAATATATTTTCAAACGTTAAAAAAAGCATTTGTTAAAATTTTTTGAGTTACAAATGACTGCAAAAAAGTAAGCAATACACTGAATTTCTTCAGTGGAATTATATTGATTAAGGAAGGGTTTGAAACGAGAATACAGTGAGTATCTATCTATTCCATACTATTATGAAATATCTAGAGAAAATCCTGTGTGACATTGTATCTAAATTAATATTTTAACACCTGGTTTTTGACTGGATAATGAAGATGTTGACATCTGGAGGGAAGCACGGTATCCAATGGACAGCTAGGATGCTAGGATGGAAGATCTAGACTTCGCAGATGACCTGACTCATCTATCGCACATACGACAACTAATGCGAGAGAAGACGACCAGTGTAGCAGCAGCAGGTCTCAACATACATAAAGGAAAAAGCAAAATTCTCCGATGCAACACAACATGCACCAAACAAATCACTGTTGATGGTGATGCGCTGGAGGACGTTAACATCTTTACATATCTGGGCAGCATCATCGACAACCAAGGTGGGTCCGATGTAGATGTAAGGGCGCGGATCCACAAAGCAAGTTCTGCATTTCTACAATTGAAAAATATCTGGAACTCCCAACAAATATAAATCAACATCAAAATCAGGATTTTTAATATTAATGTCAAGATAGTTCTACTGAAAGGAGCGGAAACTTGGAGAACTAACAAAGCCATCATCCAGAAGATACAAGTGTTTATTAACAGTTGTCTGCGCAAAACACTTCGGATTCGTTGGCCAGACACAATAAGCAACAACATACTGTGCGACAGAACAAACCAAATTCCAGTGGAGGAAGAAATCAGGAAGAAGTGGTGGAAATTGATAAGACACACACTACGGAAAGCACAAGACCAGCCCTCACATGGAACCCCGAAGACAAAAGGAAAAGAGGAAGGCCAAGAAACACATTACGCCGAGAATCAGAGAAAGACATGAGAAGAATGAAACGAAATTGGACAGAACTGGAAAGGGAAGCCCAGGACAGAGTTGGCTGCAGAAAGCTGGTGGGCGGCTATGCTCCATTGGAGGTAACAGGCGTAAGTAAGTAAGTCTCAGACACAATTCAAGATGATTGATCACTCCGACCTGGAAGCGTTGATCTTGCGAGTAAACGTTTAGTCTCTAGACCACTGAGAGGGCTGGTATTCAACGATGTGAATGTCTAATTTCAATCAATCTACAACATTGCACAACCTTATTCAATGTCGTCGGTGGGTAACGCTCTCACTGTAGACCCGTCGGGGCTATCGCCTGTCCCAATCCCGGGTAAAGGAGGAGGTTTAAGACGTGGGTTGGCGACCCCATCCCAAAAAACTGTCTCACATTCGATAGGGTTATACTTCACTGATCACAGCTTCTGACTAGAACTCAGAGAATCGTCCTCATGAAGCAAGTCACTAATGAGTACCATGCTTGTGATTTTTCATGATAGAGTTATGGATAAACTTCATGTCCAGTTTCCTTTTTTATGTCATTTGAAAAAATGAAGACTGATTTTCAACTGTCTCTACTTATTATTAGATTTTGTCAGTCATGATTTTATCCTATAAAATAAAAGCTAAAACTATTTTGGAAATCATTCAGTAGATTGTAGTTATTTAATTGAAACATGATTATTAAGTTAAATCATTTTTACACTAGGGAATAAAAAAATTTCACAGGGGATTAATCATCAAACAAGATTTACGTCAAAGAATGTTGGTTGAAGGATTAGGATCCATTAGGAGTAACAGAAGTAATTGGGAAAGTAAGTAAGTAAGTAAGTAAGTGAGTGAGTAAGGAAGTAAAAAAGTAATTAAGCTGCATAAGTAAGTAAGTAGGTGAGTGGGTAGGTAAGCAAGTAAGTAAGAGAGTAGGTGAGTAAGTAAGTAAGTAAGTAAGTAAGTAAGTAAGTGAGTAAGTAAGTAAGTAAGTAAGTAAGTAAGTAAGCAATCGAGTAAGGAAGTAAGTAAGAAATTAGGCTGCATAAGTAAGTAGGTAAGTGAGTAGGTAGGTTAGTAAGTAAGTAAGTAAGTAAGTAAGTAAGTAAGTGCAGAAGTAAGTAAGTAAGTAAGTAAGTAAGTAAGTAAGTAAGAAAGTAGGTAAGTAAGTAAGTAGGTAAACAAGTGAGTAAGTAAGCTGCATAAGTAAGTAAGTAAGTGAGTAGGTAGGTAAGTAAGTAAGTAAGCTGCATAAGTAAGTAAGTAAGTGAGTAGGTAGGCAAGTAAGTAAGTAACTCGATGAACAAGTTTCCAATTATATTTAACTAACAAACAAGGTAATACTGTCATTAAAGTGTGCCATCATATATTTCTCCACAAAATCATTTCAAAGTCAAATATTTATTGTGGAGCACAGTTTTTTGGAAGTTTGCGTTCTTACACATTTGAAATCATCAATCAATCATTGTTCGACCACCATTAGAAACCTGGAAGCACTGAATTACGGCCGTTTCGTCCTGGCATGGGACTCATCAGCAGTGCGCATCCACGACTCCTGCTCCTCGCAGGATTCGAACCCGGGATCTTTGGCACTGTAGGCGGACGCCTTACCATTGGACCACTGGGCCGTCATCCAACGGTGTTAATGTCTAACTCTGATTGATCTAGGGATTTTGCGCGACCTTTGTTACAAAACTCATCGTTTTCTCTAAAGTTGTATTTTCTATTCTGACAAACACAACCATCAAACAACATACATGATATGCTTTCTTGTTTTAGTGAGATACGAAAACAAAACGGAATCGGACACATATTGTTGTGTGTGCTACTTATACGAACGATATAAGTAGTAGTATAAGAAGGGACGTGAATGAAGAAGTAGTCTCACGGTCAAAAGAGGAAAACGTAAAGCAAATGGGTCAAAAACCAGGAAGTAAATGGAGTAGTACCATAAGGAAGTAAAAGGAAGCAACAACAGGAATGGAAGAAGAAGGATGGAGTGTTGGTAGTCACAACTCAAAGATGGTGTGCAAACAGACTGAGTGTTCAATGTAGTAATGTTTTCGTTTTTAAATTGACTAAGAGTGTAAATTTTCTGCGCCTGCCTCAGTCTTCTCAATATTATATGATTTTTTATTTTTACATGAAATAGATTTTCTATACTTTTTAGTTAAACAAAAATTCTTTGTTTTTTGTCTTGATTTGTCCTGATTTAGAGAAATTAACATTGAGAGAGAAACGGAATTTAAACAAAAATTAACCGAGTACACGATAGTGATTGCGTATTTTGATTTCATGTTGACGCTCAATTAATTACTCATTATTTTTAACTGGAAAAAGAAACAAAAACTATTGAACATTGAAGATTTGAATATTTGTCTTTTTTTTAACAAAAAAATCAACACACACAGGATAATGATGATGCTACATGTAATTCTGTCTACCAGGCTTTCTAGGTGTTTTTAGGACTAAATACAAGCAAAATGGTTTTTGTCGTAGGATGCTGTTAGAAAGCTAATCATTGTCGATAATAAAATCAGCAGTCACAATCAAATTTTTAGTAAAACCATTAGAAATCTGGAAGAACTAGGAGGGCGTTTAATCCTGGTGTATGAGACTCGTCAGCGGCAGTGTGCTTCCATGACTTCTGCACCTCAAAGGATTCGAACCCAGGATTTAGGACAAATCACAGGGGCATCAGTCTAACTGATATAGTTTCTAAATTGTTAGCCTCCATTATACTTAGATGTCTAAGTAGAGCTCGTGAAGAGCAGACTAGAGAAAACCAGTCTGGTTTTCGACCTGGACGTGGTTGTATAGACCACATCTTCACACTTAGATAGGTCCTAGAACACAGACATACATTTAGACGTCCGACAATAGTCGTGTTCCTGGACCTAAAAGCGGCATTTGACTCTGTTGATCGTGAAGTTCTGTGGCAGTGTCTGTCATTGAAAGGTGTACCAAAGAAGTACATTAACCTAATACAAGCTCTCTACTCAAACACCACTGGTCGAGTGAGAGCTTATGGCGAACTGTCACCGGAATTCCCCACTTCAAGTGGTGTCCGTCAAGGATGTCCACTCTCTCCATTCTTGTTTAATTTTATCATAGACATGCTCCTGGGAATCAACAGATAAAGTATTGAAACTTCATCAGTTGAGGTGATTGGGACATGTGTTACGTATGCCTGACCACAGACTGTCTCGATGAGTTATGTTTAGTGGTGTAGGGGAGTAGGTTGGAAGAAAGGTAGGGGCGGTCAAACCAAAACATGACAGAAATCCATGAAGTCACTGACAAGTGGATCATGTTGATTTTATTATGTAGGCTATCTGGTTGGGGTCCGCGAGACGAAAGTCACCAATGGTTAGAGACCTTGAACGACATGGCTCAAAATCGTTTCCATTGGCGCAAGTGCATCCATTCTTTGAGCTCTCTCAAATCATAATCTTCTGGATTAGTCAACACCTCTACCTTTGTCTTTATAACCTTATCTCACTGAATTATACCTCATGAATAATATCTTCAAACCCTAGTCTTCTTCATTACCATTAATACCTCTACTATCTTTATCACTATGTGATTTGATTTGACATTTTAGTCTCTGTGCTTATGTGGTGATATGGCAACATGAACTTATGTACATACGTACAAAGTTCTACGTTGCAACTGACTGAACCCAGGATATTACGTCTTGCGCATGAACGGCTAACCTATGGAGCACCGAGACGACATCTAATGGTGTTAGTGTTTGATTGCGGTCAGTCTAGGGATGAGATTTACTTAGAAGCTCAGTTATATAATTCATGGTAAACTGGATTGATCAATAATTATCGAACTATGTGTAGGTAAATGATTGACCTGTATTAAAGAGTTATGGAATTATGATGAGTTTCATTGAAATAATGAATTGGTCATTCATAGACTGCCATTAGAAACCTGAAAACACGTTTCGTTTTAGTATGGGATTCGTCAGCAGTGATCATCTATGACCCTCGCTCGTGAGAATCAGAACCAGGACTTTCAGACTCACGTGCGAATGTG